CGGTGAAGCGCACGGCCGGCTTTGAGGTGTCCGATACGACCGTACTCGTTGGGGTTGTCGGGGATTGAGGGAAAGAAATGCTCGTCGGGCTCTCAACGAGAGAAGAGGTCGTCGAGCCTGGGTTACTCGAAACTGAGTACCTGTGTATGCTCACGAGAGGCCGAGTCTTTGCGGCGTCATCTGCAAGCCGTTAGCATGTTAATCTGCATGAGACAACGCAGAAGTCGGACTTACACTCATCCCCGTCCACCTTGCCGACATGGTCCTCTGTAACAAAGGATTTTCTAGGGCCACCGCTCTGTTGGTAACTAGGCGGTGGACCCTTAGGATCCTTATAGGCACCGCCATTAGAAGAAGAATGACTATCGCGACCCTTATGAACTAGCCGGGGACGGCTGTCTCTGTCCTGCCCGGATTGAGACGAGTCATCCTCGGAGCCTCTGAAGTCTGCTTCATGGATGCTAAGGGCTTCCCAATCGCCAAATTGCGCTTTCGAATGGTCAACTTTATCATACGAGTCGAGTGCTTCGGCCATCATCTGCCAGGGGGATCCAGGCAAGCTCTACCGCGTGGAAATTTCACCTGCGACCTAAGACTGCCTCGGGACGAAAGGGAGGCCGGCTGAGAACCATGTCCAAGTTATATGGAGCGTGGAATGAACCAGAACCGGAGCGTAAGCGTGGCACAGACTTGCACTTCTACGGAGGTTCTCGCTCAGGCTCGACACCAACGCGGGTGGTCACAGTAGTGTGTTCTCGTCCTTAATAGAAGCCGGGCGATGAAGTGGCATCTAGCGTGGGGATCATCCCTGCTCTTTAGGCATCTATGCTCGGGAGAAAACTACGCACAACATATAATTAGTACTACGACACTACGTGATCGGGGAGAGTAAGGCTGCTCTTCTGTTGAGTCTTTCTACACTCCATAGGCGCGGGGGTCGTCAAAGTGCAGGTATTTGCGCGGGGGACAGATTAGGACATATCAGAACGAACGGGAAGCTGCTTACTTGGCTCGAGCTAGCTGGGCAAAATCATTCACCATCATATCATAGCCTGATGGTTTAAGCCATCACACAATGATGCAGATGACATATGATTAAAGCCGAAGAGAGGTGTGTGTAAAGTGGAAATCATCGTATTGACTGTCTACCTGCGCGAGCTTATGTATCTAGAGAAGCGACCATATCGGGGTCCGATTTTGCGGGAGATCCCATGGCGAAATACAGCCAGTAAACCCGATGGACTGTAGGGACAAATAGCAGGAGCTAACCCTACCTAAGGCATCATGTAACCCCGTCCATCGGCCCTCTCCCCGCCAGCCATAGACATAGTGGCTTCGGACTGAGTGAAGAATATCGCAAGTGAGTATATCAACGAAAAGTCATTCGCGCGTAGAGGCTAAAACAGAAAAGCAAATTCGCAGCCGCGTCGTATTGAGAGGTTAGCAATGAAGCCTTATACCCTCTCCAGGTGTCCGTCCGGAACCGCGGCGTTGTCTAGAATTCGTCCTCACTCCCATCATCATCATAGCCAGTAGTCTGGTCTTCAGGGTAGGTCGCGTAGGCGGGGGGGACGTAGAACACTTTGCGCTTGTCCTATATAAGTTATTAGTCTTGTCTACTGTAGACGGCATATCCTGAAAACTTACCCCTTTAACCCACTTCGTAGACGGTTGCACAAAAGCACTAGGCCTGGCATACGCTCGGCTCTCCTCGCGAACAGGCTGGTCCTCGGTTGTAGTAACACTCAAGTCATCTCCAGGCAAGCTCTGGTTTTTGGTGTCGACACTCTTGCCATGGGGTTCGACAGCCGACTGTGTGGGCGTAGCCATAGCGAGGGAGTCGGACTGGCTAGCATGGGTCGTACGAGCAGCTGACTGTTGCACCAAGGTAGTCTGGCCCGCTTGTTCCGTCAAGCTGAGCGAAGACAGGCCATCGATAACACCCTAAAGACTTATTAGAGATAATACTTCATGATGTGTCAAAAGTCATCCTACATTATCGCCTTTATCACCTTGTTTCGTGGATTTGGTCTCTGTGGTTCCATCACCGTAGGTCGAAGTTCTGGTGATCATCGAACTGGCAGCTTCAAGCATTGAGCCAGCTTTGCCACCGCCCGTGGTTCGCGGTCCGTACTTCAGCGAGGTCGAGACAGCCGCTCCAGAATCGCGCGCGGAAGCTTCGACTGGCATGTCGGGAAGTCGGCATTGGACCATTGTGGTCTGTGCGATGAGCTCGTCGTGGGACAACTTCGAGTTGGGGGGAGGCAGCGGGATTTCAGTTCCACCGAATTGGGAGGTCCAAGATGTGCACACAATGCACCACTAAGATGGTTAGTTTATAGCTGCTTGGGGTTGAGTGGCATCAGAACTTACCGGCTCGGGATTGTTCCGCTGGTTCTTACTGAAGTGCTCTCTGTACTTCCATGCAGAGCATGGGCCGTGGCACTTGATCTCTTGGTTTGCGGGCTGTCCGTTGTGCTGTTTACAGAACAGTCCGATATTCTCAGGCGTGACTCCATCGTTGGCACTTTTCTTCTGCTGGTGCCATTTATTCAACTGCTTCTGGGAGAACTTGTCAGGCTGCAGCCACTGGCCGTCGGCAGCACACTTGAATCTATTCGAGTTTAGCAGGAGAATGGCCGTTCAAGTATATCAAGTACTCACGCTCTTGGAAGGGCATTGGCTCGAGTACTATTGTATTCCGTTAGTATACGGATGAGTACGTGCATATTTGCAGAGCACTTACCGCTGGGGGAATGAGTCGACGTATGCCCGGGGTCGGTTGGAAGCCATCCTGTCTGGGATATTCGCGGATGTCGGCAAGTGCGGCAAGAGACTTAACACTAGATATATTATCAGCGAGACCCTTGATAAACACTTGAAGCTAGATTGGCAAGTACGAAGAATTGCAGGAGTGGGGGAATTATCGATGCTAAAGGGGAACTAGGACCCAATCGCCTCTCTATGTCAAGGGACAGATATAGAGAGGTATGATTTAGGGTCAAGTCCCTTGAGTTTGCGTTAGCCTACCTGGACACCTCGAAGTTTTGGGATTTCAGAATTAGGTCTGCCTAGTATATGACGGGAGGCTTTACAGGGCTGATCTTGTCTAGGAAGAAGTCGGGTAGAAGTGGTCTGGACAAGCGATGGGAATCCGAGTGGAACCTGCCTCACTATCAATACGGACCTGCCCGCAGAAATTATGTAGTTAGATGTAGAGGAACGGGGTGAGAGTGCAAAGAAATAAGTGCGTTTGGGAGTGAAAGGGTGAAATTGCATGAAAGCCCTATGATTAAAGCTTCAAAAGGAGGGGGCAATTGCCAACGAATGCCAAACAAGCTCGTCTCAAAATATGGAAAACAACAACGGCAAAATGGAGAATGCAGCTAGTGATAGTAGTACTGTGTGCAGATGAACGTACAGGTCTCAAATGTCTTCTCGACGAAGGCCTATCACGCCGGGATGTTCCTTTACCCGAGTTCTCTGCTTAAGACGTCTAGACAGCGGTGTCAAGCGGTGATCCGGTCAGGCAAGAGACTGTTTGGGATGGAGGTGGTGCCTTGTCCTGAAGAAGACGAACTTAACACCGAGTACCCGGATTCCGGAATTGAAAAATGTGAGGACGTGGTCTGGTGCAGAGGGTGAGTTACATAAATAATAAGGCAGCTGAAGGAGACCCACTGCGTGCTGGTGACTGTCCGGGGGAAGGTGAAAACAGGTGCCCTAGGTGCTTGCCAGCAGGTATGAATATGTGGGCACTTTCCACTTGTCTCCCGTCAAAGATGAGTCAGTGGTAAGGTTGCCGTGGTATCTAGCAAGTGCTAGCAATTTGCGCCGTTGTATCTGGTGGTAGTTGGGTTTGCACCTTCCCACCTACCGCATTGGCCTTGAACGTTAGGATAACAATCATCCTATCTGTGTCAAGGTAAGTACGGCTGAATACATAGCTATCCACATGTAAGAATAAATATCGTGACCTGATAGCTACCTTCATGTACCTCTAGATTCATATCCAACATGGCTGTGTATGTCTCTATCAAAAGACGCTGGAACGACACCGTCTCCTTTTCTCTTCTTAACGCGAGTCCACCAACAAATACATGCAAACCTTCTTCCAAATACTACACCACGATGCTGAAGCTGCTAACTTCTCCAAACACTCTCTCTAAGGATAATTCGACTGGAGCTTAAGTCTTTTGGCCAAAGAGCCCATAACTGTCGCAGGGAAGCCACCCTACATAGGTTATCTAAACTCGGGCTTCTTAGAGACGCTGCACGGTGCTGGTGCTGACTTGCGACATGGCCGTCCATGTGTCTTCAAGATACCATTTATAGACTTGAGTGTTTTGGTTGCGCTGGTGCACAGCTCGTGCTGGACTTGGATTCTGTTTCTCGATACTGATAATGTTCTGCGACGCGAATCCAGCTGGAGCATCCCTACCAAATACCGACTCGAATAGTGAGTGGCAGTAGTGAATGTTCCCTCGATTTCCGATTTACGAGTGGCCCTACCTTTGGAGGTTTGGAAGGCCACGACTTGTCCAATCTAACGGCCTTGTTCCCGACTCATTTCAAGCTCGCTGGCATATGTGCTTCAACGATGAAGTCTCCCATGACCGTCAATTTTCGTCTGCATCTTCATTACCCTCACCGTTGAGGTTGAAAGAAGATCCAGTTAGCGGCCACTTGCTTGTTCGCTGCCTCATAGCATCGCGCAGAGGGTAGAACAGACTCGAACCACACAATCTCGGACCTCCACCATCCTACCCAATCGTCACGAATTCCTCGAAAATACTCTATGGCTCTATAGGTGTCGGGCCAGCGTCTGCAAGGCTGTATATTCGCATTATGTATGGAGTACTAGTCCCTTAGAGCCTTAGAGAGGCGGCGCGCTGGTCTTGTAGCTAGGCCGAATTGTCTCCGCATCTGATTTGTCAGAGCGAATGTGGAGAGAAGCGCAATGAGTTATAATGTCTTAGTTCGGCCAATTTTAAACACCCGGAACGGTAGCTCAGTGGTAGAGCAGTGGATTGCAGATCCAAAGGTCATGAGTTCGATCCTCATTCGTTCCTGTGCTTTCGAGAAATCAGCTTGCAATCTAGTATGGCAACGAGAATTTTTTGCTTTTGACATGGTCATCCTAGGCGCTTCTATCTTGGCAACGAAATTTGAAATGGTGACAGTTCACCATTACATTTTGGAGGAGACTGGGGGAGAACCATATTTAATTTTCAGTTAGATGTAAAAAGAGTTATCGTGACGAAAATTCTTGATTGGTCTAGCATTCCGGTTTCGACTCATAGTAAGCTATTGAGCTTGCTACCTACTCACTTATACACTCTGCATGAAGAAATACGCGTTTCTGGAAGGAATCTTGTTCTTAATTGTCTAATATGTCTAAAGCTTACTCAGTAAAGTTGTGATCTTTATATATTTTATTAAACTCCCGATCAACCCCCACATCAAGGTTGAATGCTGACTGCATTTGTCTTTTCCGACTTCAGCGCACAAGGAACCTTACTTCTGCAATGGTAGAGACGAAACAAGCGGCTGAGAACTTATTTGGTCTTATTTATACTTAACTAACCAGCTATAACTCAATGGTGACCGGCCTCCATATGCGGCCCGCCACTGTACGACGTATTGGCCCGGTCTGCGGCAATTCCTCCGTCATCCGGCGAATGTGCGTTAGGCTCGTAGTGGTTGCTAAAGGGGTGGCTTGAAGGGTTTGCTGATGCTTGAGGCGTATTATCTGACCTGTCTTGCTGCGGGTTCACAGTCTCGTACTCGAGGGCCTTGATGAAGATATAGAATCCAGACGCGAGGAGCGAACCTAGGATAGGACCAAGCCAGTAGATCCAGTGGTAGGTTGGGAAGTCCCTGATGACGACGTTGGGACCGAAGGAGCGGGCCGGGTTCAGGCTTCCGCCTGTGTAAAAGGCCCCCCTGCATGGCACAGATATTAGCAATGCGCTTCTTGGTAAGCCGTCATAGGTTGTGAAGGGGACAATAGAATATCACGAAGGGGGATGATCAAACGTACACCAACTCGGCGATGAAGAGCGATAGCCCAATACCAATGGGCGCGATAAACGTCCCTCGATGTTTCTCGGCGGCCAACATGAAGATAGTAAACACCAGTTGGGCTGTGAGGAACATTTCTAAGAAGAGTCCCCTGACGACCGATATGCCGCCGCCCAAGCGCGTAGCCACGTTCAGAGGGCCAGGCGTAAGAGCCGATATAACAGCGGCCGCAGCAACGCCACCCAGGAGCTGGCTTACGATAACCATAGGACCCCGAATGTAGTCCACCGCGCCGATGATCATCATACCTAGTGTCACAGCCGGGTTGAACAGACCGCCGCTGATGCGGAAGAAGACCCAGGCGTTGACAGCGAGGCTCATGCCGAAGCACAGAGAGATGTACAGCAGCTTGGCCGGATCGGCAGGCGCATCTCCCGGCAGGTTCGTGTTGACGGCGTTCGTGCCACCAAAGGCAAAGAACAGGAACATGAACGTGCCGGCGAATTCGCTCAACGCAGCGACGAGATGGTTCTTGATCGTCAACGGTAATATGTTGAGAATATTCAGCCGATGAGAACTGACCGAGCGGTCATCGTGGTCTACATTCACCGGCTCCCAGGGCCTCCGGAACTGCGTCTTAATCTCGGTGTGCTCCATCCTAGGCGAAGGAGGATCGGGAGGTGTAGTAAGTAGCTAGAAACTACGTTTAGACGGTCATAAGCTCACCCGATGATTCTGAATACGTACATAAGTCGATTTGTCTCTAGTTCAAGATTCTCAAGGAAAAGCTAACTTTTTATACGCCTGTTCATGTTCATATATACATCCTCTTACCTAGGTATGTAGCTGTATCTAAATACGACTAGCACCACGCGATTGAACACAGCATGGTGGGCTTTACTGAATGATGATTCAATACTGCCAGTTGGCTCTGATTTAGCTCTCGAAGAACTCGTAGCTTCTTATCATTACTTAATATCTAGACAAACTAGGGAGTCACGGAGTCACTCACCATATGTTTAGCGGATAGTGTCCATTGCTCTTCCATACGACCAAGAGGCATGCGATATTGTTAGGTATGGAATTAGTTCGGAGCACGATGCAAACGGGGCCGCCTTGCTAGGCCGGGTCGTGAATCGCGCAGAGATCCATGACATCAACAGCTATAACATAGGGATTTTAGCCCCTTCATTGAAAGGGGCAAATCTTGCGAGTATAGTAGAGGGAGATGTATTTTTAACATGAGCCTAACCTCACTCATTAAGGAATATTGCATCAAAATAAACAGAGGCCTCGATCTGGAGGTCCACGTCATCTTCGCGGCGTCAGACCACCTTAAGTTAATCCAGTCACAATATTATTCGGGAGCGGCCCGTCTCCCACAAACGGGCTGTCTGTTCTTTAGAGTATTCAATGCAAAGCGCCAGCCGCGCCGCTCCGTGCCACTCTTCAGAGACACGCGAAACCTTCATAGGTATGATAGATTGATAGAGTATTAAAGTTCCGGTGGTTGGACAAGTATTACGAGGCTCATGATGTACGTGACTAAGTACGGGAAGAACAAAACAAGTTTCTCGGAACGCTCGAGTTACCTCGCCCGAAGACAAGTTAAGGGAGAAAAAAGCAAGCCACTGCCGTAAGGATCGTCCCTAAAAGTAACGGATCGGCCGTCAAGGATGATAAAACATACAACTCCATGATCGAGCCTGGGACCCTTGGAGAGATAATGCACTTATTGCTTCTAGAAGACAGCGAACCCGCCAATCTGCGAACCTATCCTTGGGGTCTTGGGGTCTGGGGCCGAGGGAATGCACTGTTTCGAAATCAAAGACCCTTCAAAAATCGAGCTTGCATCGCCGACGCCCGAAATGCAAGGATATATAACTCATTTGAACATGCATTTGCTAAAGGCATTGAAATCCCCACACTTCATCAATGCACTCAGGCTGTCAGGTCGCCATTGAGCTCGTGCGACCAAGGCTAGTTAATAGGGGTCCAGTCTGCGGATACCTATCGCGATTATCATCTGGCCATTTGACACAGACGGCTTGCGTGTAGTATTCAAGTAACCTAGTGTCATGATCGGGACGTGCCGCTGCTCAATGAGTCACAAGAAGCAATGGCAGCCGTTCTCATCAAACATAACCTATGATTAACTTGCGTAGAGTGGAGAGAAAATAACAGTGATACAACCTTAGAAGTGATGATACCTACGGCAGAGTGTCCCGGTCAAAAGCAGTGCATGATCTCTACATAGCATCGAAACTGCCCACCATGCGTGCAAAAAACCAGGTCTACGTGTTCGTGGTTCGTGGAGCTCCAGCCTCCCCAGTTTCTTATTACACGGCAAATTTATTTCTTTTATGTGGCGGGTATAGGTACACACGTGCGCATGTAATTATGTGCATAATATACGGGCCTCAATGGTAGCTAGTACCTGATCATCGCATCTTTCAGGGGTTTCTCCTGAAAGGGTATGGCTTCATTTATGCAAGCTTTACCCTTTTCACATGGCATATTGGACCAGGTTAAGCCTGGAAATATCTCGAAATTTTCTGTTAAGGAGCACTTACCATGCGAAGTATTATTGTGATTGATCGACGAAAAGCCTCCAATAGCTATGGGTAACGGGTTGATAGTTATCTACCTAGGATATGTGATTATCTAGCCTCTACACACACTGACACATGAAAAAAGGTGGCTATAAGTCGAAGACACTGAAAAAAAAAGATCTTCCATAGGAGTGGGATTTTCGTCTGTATTTCTTGATGAACTCCACAACGGGGATGGTGCTTCCAACAAGCGTCGGTGCCTCACCTGCGGTCTGCCCCCTTGCACCGGGCTTGCCCGTACGGGTTTAGACCGGTTGGGCTGCTTTCATCCAATGTGCGCCACGTCGTCTAGCGGTAGAGACGATGCCATTAGCATTGCTAAACGGGCAGTGGTCCCTGCGCATCATGCATCGCTCTTGACCAGAATCGGGAGAGAATGGACAGAATCGCATTCTCGACCTCCTGTTCCTCTCTGGCGGTATGTACCTGGCGTCCTCATAGGGCATACATGTACATGAATCTAGGTAAAATGCTGCTACTTCGCCAAAGACGGTGTGACCAATTCATTCTCGAAATGATTGAGATGTCAGGACTCTTAATCAGCCAGCCTCTCTGTTTCGGTGTTTTGGGCCTTTCTCCGCATAGGGGCCAGCAATGAGCGTTTTCATAGTACCTAGGTAGAGTAGCATACCCATCAAGCAACTCCCGACCCCTTTTCTAGGGACCCGCGGCTACGCAGGTACGATCTTGATTACCTAACGTCAAAGAGCTATCGTATGAGTAGAGGGCTGATGAGCTTGTTAGGATTGATCATGGAGATGATTTATCATCGGCAAGTAGGCGGACGTCTTACAGCCTGCTATTGGCTTCAATAGGAATTGCTGTCTTATTCTTGGAAAAAGCCACGGCCATGATATGGCGCAGCTAGCTCGAGCTGGAGCGAGTCATGTTGTAATAAGAAAGATATGACGAAACATGAACCCTTTCTCAGGTGCCTTCAGGAAGAGCGCTGACGTTCATATTGGTGGGAGACCGTAGATACTTGCCGGTTTCACACCGTGCTTCATCCAACCACACTACCTCTTGGACCGAGCCCCGTCGACCCGTCAAACGGTTATTCGCCAAAGAAGAGGTGTGTCATGGGTACGCGATAATGGAACCCATGTTGTTTACTACTGTTGAACTGACGCTCTGAGTTGGCATTGACCAAAACAGGATAAAATCCCAACCCACGCGTCTTTTATTACCCAACTGGGCCGGGCACTTGATTTCCCCCTTGTATTATGTATCTTTGTCAGCTTGATAGGGTAGGTCGTCTTGAATGGTGGTTGGTTTATTCTTTGCATGTTCGATTTTCGCCTCCTAAGAATGACAGGTGGACAAGTAACGCAGAGTGAGATGCGCTCTCGCAGTCACGTAGATATTCCTATTGATACACAGCATACCAAGTTGAGGCAAGCTACCTAGGTAGGGATGGATTGGGTGATGACGATGTA